CTGGCGCCCTTAGTCCTAGAACTCTGATTCTGCAGTTTCTTTTGAGTAGAATTATTATTCTATTATTACATTAGTTACTGTTTGCTGCATGTTTAAACATGAATTTATTATATTTTGAGGCCATACATTTACCCAAATGAAAAAAATCTCTATTTGAGAAAATTGTTTCATAAAATTTAATTGCTAGTGAGCTACTCAGGAAGCCCCTCTCTCACGGCAAAGAGCTGGACTGGGCTTCTTTCACTTTCCTCTATGCCTCCATTGCTCTGTGATTTATTTTAGGTTCCCTACTTCTGTGATTTAGGTTGAGCTACATTTTACTTGGAACTTAGAAACTGGAAACAAAAGTACATCTGCTGACAAAAGGGTGTTCCAAGAACTGGAAAGCCCGGGGAAAACCAAAAAAAGGAAGCATCAGATAAACAAAAAAAAGGCTCCTGCCAGCAAGAAAGTACTAAACACCACATAGATGGAGAAACAGGCTCCACATCAAGCCCAGCAGGGAAATTCAAAAGTATCTCCAAGTGATGCCAATAAAGACAGAAGTGAGAAAACCAGAAACAGACAGGTGTGGCCTGCTGATAAAGAAGTTTTCTGGCAATTCATATTTATGCAAACATTTCAGCACACTGACTCTTCTTATGATACCTGATGCCACATGCTCTGCTGAGGGTCAGGGCCTGTGGCTAACACATTGGAAAGTAAAGACAAAAGGAAACTAGATTCTTATTCAAACAAATAGGCAGATAATAATCACATATTAAAAAAGCTCCACTCAGGAGAGAGAAAGAGAGTGAGACTGATGCAGGCGTATCGATGGAGAAGAACCTCATTAAACCACAGTATAAAACTTGGTATTAAATCCTTTAGGGAAACAATAGCTATTCAAGGCCCAGCACTGCCAGTATCCCTCGGTTCACGATTTAGGAGTTTTAAAAGGATTCATTCAACCTCAACTATGTGCAAAGACGCTGTGTGCCTCTCCTGGCGCAGGGCCAGAGTCCTGCCATCTGGACAGGATGGAGGGAGAAAAGCTGAGGGCTCAGTCCATTCAACAGGCAGCAAAGAGCAGGCAGCACCTTTTCCGGTGGATGCTGCTCTGAGGCCATGCCTGGGCTGGACGCTCCTGGGCTGTGTAATGGCAGCAAAGACAGCAGGTGTGTGATAAGGTTCATCCTCCTGGAGCATCAACTTTACTAGAAAATATGAGTGAAAAGCACAAAATACAGCCATTTTAAGGAGTAGATTACAATATTTAAGTCAACTTTTAGAATAAAGCATGAGATTTCAAAAACAGTGGCTCTCAGCTCGTGCTCCTTCCCAGTCTCTTTCGCAGACTCTCCCATTTCCTCCTGTGATTTAAAGGCAGGAGCTGCTCAGGTGCTGATCTAGATCCTCTGTTCTCCACACACTCATGGTGGGCAACTGCATGCCCTCCCAGGGCCTCAGCCACCAGATCTGCACCAACAAGCCTCAGGGCTCCGCGCACCACAGTTTCTGAGCTCCCAGACAGCCTCGCTTAGTTTGCCACATTGCACAGGTGCCTTGTGTTCAACGTAGCCAAGACGGAATTGGTCATCTTCAGTGCTTCCCATTCCTATCTGACACATTTCTACCTATCCCAAAACAACGCGCGCCTATCTTAGGGAGTGTCACCACCACCTAGCCAGCTTCCCAAGGCAGAACAGTCCTTACCTCTCTGATTCCGACACCTGATCATTAATCAAGACCTGATGATTTCCTCACCTCCAATCTAACTCTCTATCACCACCACCTCCCTGGTTACAGGGTGCACATTCTGTTGCTAGTGAGATGCTCTCAAATTCGGTTTACTCATCTGCAGTCTCTTCCAGCTAAAACAACCCATCTTGAGCTTCTAGTCCAAGCCTCTCATTTTACACATAAGGAAAAGCAGGCCCAGACAACTACTGTGCTTGCAAGGTCCCAAAATTACTGAGAAATCTGCAAGTGAATAAAAAGTAAAATTGATGATATTTATATGCAGGAGAAACATACATTGATTAAAATCAACATATTTTTTAAAATTAGGTTTTTCTACAATACATCCAACATGATGGAATACTATGCAGCTTTTAAAAAAAAAGAATGAGGAGGAGCCATATACTGCTACGGTGTGAGCCTTATGATATGCTGTTTAATTTTTAAAAAAAACAAGATGAAGAAAAGGCTGTATCATAGGCTACCATTTTCTAAGAAAGAGGATTGTGTATATATATATATATACACACACAGATGCTAAGATTAGAAATAAAACGATAAACTAAAAACTAGAAAAAAGTTACCTATGAAGGAGGGAAGAAACAGGGTGGAAAGACCAGGAATAAAAGATAGATTTCTGAAATATTTCATTTTGACTTGGAACCATGAAAATGTTTTATAAGCTTATAACAAAATTTAAAAAGATGCTATTCCTTAAAATAAAAATAAAATAAATGAATCTAACTGTGTAACAAGCTGATGGCCTACTGAGGAATTGGTTCAAATGACTTTAAAACAATAATTTGGCAGAACATCCCTAGGGATATATTCCAAGGACAAAAAGAACCACATAAAATCTTAAACTGGTTTCAGGAATCATATTGTTGGTAATACACTGGTATTGTTATTCTAAAACTATCACAAATATTTTATAGGTTAAAACAAATAAGTAACGATGCTAATGTTGTTAGGAAACAAGATTTTCACTATAAGAAAAGGGAGATACTGGGGTCGGCTTGGTGGCGCAGAGGTTAAGTTTGCACGTTCCGCTTCGGTGGCCTGGGGTGCGCCGGTTCGGATCCCGGGTGCGGACATGGCACCGCTTGGCAAGCCATGCTGTGGTAGGTGTCCCACACATAAAGTAGAGGAAGATGGGCACGGATGTTAGCTCAGGGCCAGTCTTCCTCAGCAAAAAGAGGAGGATTGGCAGCAGATGTTAGCTCAGGGCTAATCTTCCTCAAAAAAAAAGGAAATAGGAGATATCAACATAAAATCAAAGAAGTAAAAACAACATAATCCTAAATTTGAAATTAAAACATCAATATGAACTCACGATGTATTTTCACTTAAAAAGTATTTTCCTGGCTGTCTACCAAACAGGCCTAGAAACAATAACCAGCCCTGTAGCAGGAGAATCCCTCAGACTCTGGTCTCAAAGTATCATTTCCTACAAAAGGGAACCAGAACTGCTTAGAGAAATAGCCAATTCCAGGTCTGGGGTGGAAAAATACAAAATGAACCTGAAACATCTTACCATACCAGAAAGCAAGGAAAGGAAGACTACGGGTCATGATACAGGACAAAGGAGACAACTCAAAGAGGCTTCACTGGCCAAAAATGGTACAATTTTAGCATCATAAGAACAATAACTGCAATGGACTAAAATATATCACATGCGCATAAATTAATGAGTTTATGATGATACTTAAAACAATCACTGGTCACTTTTGGAGTGGCTATGGAACCATCTCATTATCTGGAGAGCTGATAAAGAATCAGGCATTTATCCTGTCTTTCCTATTTTAACCATCCCTTAGGGTAACCAAACAGTCAATGAGAGGAAATTTCTCTCTACAGAAGTATTTCAGTTAATCAAGGAAGAGTAAAGGATAAAATTGATAACATGATCATTCTGCAACCTCCAATGACTGTGAGTCCAGGCAATGAGCCCACCGGTCCCGAGGCCCTGAGCAGACGTGTGCCTCCTGGTGAGGGTGCACACCACTGCCTCCGGAGGGCTTGTGTCCAAAGGCTGAACCGAACACGACTGGAGCTCTACATCCACCCACCATGTCACAGGAAACACAGGGGACAGAAGAGCATCTTCAGTGGAAATGGCAAAAGTCAAAACAGAGAAGCCTCTGACTACAGAACAATCTGCCTGGATTTTCCAACAAAGAAAACGCAAGGAAAAACAGGATAGGGAGGAGCAATCAATTGATTAAAAGAGACTTACGAGACATATCAGCTAACTGCAATTGTTTGGATCCTGCTTCAAACAAACTAAAAAAATAGACTGTTGGGGAAAATTGAATGGTACTGTGATTATGAATGAAATTTTAAATAGTAGTTTTCTTGATACTTATGAATTTATCAAAAATAGCTACGTATTAAATCTCACTTTGGATGCAAACATTTCAAAACCTTTTTATATTCATTTTAATATTTCAATATATTAAAGAGTTCTTAATTTCATGTACAAAATGCCACTCAATCACAAACTAGAAATTAAAACACAGGGTATTTAGTTTCCTTTCAAACTCCTACAGAAAGATGGTTAAGGAGCCAACAGTTCATGTATCAAACGATGCAATACTCAGCTGAGGCAGCCCTCCACCTTCAGTCACTGGCACCTTTACTGCAGTGGGCATCCTTCTAGGGAAGTACGGGCCTCAGAGCTTTCAGAGGGTAGGTCTATGAGGCAGAGATGCATGCCACTACCCTTGGTTATCTTTTTTATTTTTATTTTTTTTTTAATTGGCACCTGAGCTAACAACTGTTGCCAATCTTCTTTTTTTCCTCCCCAAATCCCCCCAGCACATGGTTGTATATTTTCAGTTGTGGGTCCTTCCAGGTGTGGCATGTGGGACGCCACCTCAATGTGGCCTAATGAGCGGTGCCATGTCCACACTCAAGATCTGAACCGGCGAAACCCTGGGCCGCCACAGCAGAGTGTGCAAACAACCACTCGGCCACAGGGCTGGCCCTACCCTTGGTTTTCAAACTCACTAATCATCACTGGGCCATCAGGTGTAATGTCTATTATTCTCAAAGTTTAATGTTGGTTTAAAGAAAATGAAAAATAAAAATAAGGTCAGACACACCAAAATACAATGCCAGGTATGCAGAAGATGTCAAAATACATGTTACAGAATGAAATTGCTAAACCCAAAAATGAGTAAGTTCAGGATTTTTAAAAATTTACTTAATTTTTATGTGAAGTGAACAAGTAACAACTGAAGAAGGAAATCTATACAAATTAAAATTTTCCAGTAACATACCTGTGTGTCATACGCCGTAAGAAGATATATCTAAGCTTGATCAGGGAGGAAGAGACTTCAATAAAGAAAGAAGTGAAGCAGTGTCAACTCTACCCTTCTTCAAATAACGCAGTGGAGCCTCTTACCTAGGAAGTAAGAACAACACTTGATCAACTCATGTGGAAAATCTTAAAAACTTAAAAATAGAATTTCAAAAATGTAAATTTCTTAAGAATGATCAAGTAAGAAGTTTAAGATAAAACACTTTTAACCACTCTACATAAACACGTGTTTGGATTTTCTATGTTTTTTGAGTTTGACACAAATTACAAAGTCTAGATACCTTCAAATTATTTTTATTTTAAAGTCGCTTTTACCATGGAGTATATTACATGCGCAGAGAAAAGCACAGGAAACATGTGCAGGTTCCTATCAAAGTCCAATGTTAGCTAATATCTTTACCCTTCTCTTGCACAGCAAGGACTCTAAAATACTAACTCCATTTATCATTTTTCCAATGCATAGCATAGTTGTGTCTGGATATGTGTGCATATATTTTTGTCATAAATGTTTTATATAATATTCATTCATTTTTATTACATACAGAATTCTTTCTTTTAGTATACTGAAACTATTACTCCAAGCCTTTTTGGCTCTCACTGCTGGTGTTAAGAAGTTGATTGTTGCTCCTTTGTAGACAGTCACGGGTTTCACTATCATGTGCTTGGGTATGGATTTCTTTTTACTTATCCTGCCAGTCATTTGTTGAACATTTTGAATCTGTGGTTTGGCTTCTTCCACAGTTTCTGGAAATTTTTCAGCCATGATCTTTTCAAATATTGCTTCTACATCATCCTCTTTCTCCTCTCCTTCTCAGACCCCAATTATACATATGTCGAACCTCCTATTTCCTCTATGTTTCCTCCTTCGCTTTATGTTTTCCATATTTCCATCCCTATGCCTCATTCTCGTTTTTCTTTTTTGGTCTATTACTATGGTGAATTACACTGATTGATTTTCCAATGTTAAAACAACCCTTCATTCCTGAGATAAACCTCACGTGATCATTATGTAATATCCTTTTTATATGTCACTATGTGGATTCTATTTGCTAAAATTTAAGGAGGATTTTTGTGTGTATGACAAATATTGCTTGGCAGTTTTCCTTTATCATGATGTCTTTGTCTGGTTTTGCTTTCAGGGTAGTGTTGGCCTCAAAGAATGAGAGAGGAAGTATTCCTCTTCTATTTTCTGAAAAAGTTTTGTCAGATTAGTATTCTTTCTTCCTTAAGCGTTTCATACAATTTATCAGTGAAGCCATTTGGGGTCTGGAGTTTTCTTTGAGGTAAGAATTTTAACTAAAAATTCAATCTCTTTAATAGATGTAGAGTTGTGCAGATACATATATATGCTGACCAACATCTGAAAACCGTTGTTTCACATATTTTGTCTGGTTTTCAAGTTGTTTAAGATGGGAGTCAGGTTTGGAACTAGGATGAGGTGAGTGAGGCACCTGCCTCAGGTACAACTTTTAAGGGAGTGCCAAAAACTCAGTAATAGAGATAAAATCAAAAGTAATGCAAAACATCCATGAGAAACAAAATATTAAAATTTTAAATAAAGATAGTATCATTAAAAGTACTGAGCCAAGTCATATTGGAGCTGAGGTAAAAGAAAAAATCTGATCTTGTCTTTTGTTAAAATTTGACTTTTTCGGGGGCCAGCCCAGTGGCGCAGTAGTTAAGTTTGCATGTTCTGCTTCAGTGGCCCGGGGTTTGCCAGTTCGGATCCCGGGTGCGGATGTGGCACTCCTTGGCATGCCATGCTGTGGTAGGCGTCCCACATATAAAGTGGAGGAAGATGGGCACGGATGTTAGCTCAGGGCCAGTCTTCCTCAGCAAAAAGAGGAGGATTGGCAGTAGTTAGCTGAGGGCTAATCTTCCTCAAAAAAAAAAAACCTGACTCTTTATATCATGGATTTTTTTGCATCACATTTGATTTTTTTTAAGTATTGCATTAAAATGTTACTCTCAATTACTCAGTTGAGTAATCTCAATTACTGAGCTTTCTGATGTCCCCTTAAATTCTGCACCAGAAGCAAGTGCCTCACTCACCTCACCCTCGTCCTGGTGGAGTATAAATCTGACCCCTGTTATCACATCGTGTGGAAATAGAAGACTCCAGGAATAACTTTCTTACTAAGCAGAATCACACTAACACGTTATAACTACAAGAGTTTATCAGAACTGGCAAACTAAGTGTTTTATTTCTCAGAGATATCTTAGAAACCAGAAAATGCTTCAATGTGAAACATTATGCTCTAATACTTCTATTTGCAACTAACAGTCTTATATGTACGTGTTCCTACACAAACCCACTTTGTAGACAGGAAAGTCCTATAAGCATATAAAAACTTTCTTATAATTACTAAATAAATATACACACACAAAGGATTTGTGACTGTAAAATAGTACTGTAATTACATAATATCTGGGTGATACATTTACATTATGAGGTACACCAAAACCAACCATCTACGTAACTGCTATCAAGTCAATTTATTGACGGGTGAAAGCAGATGCCCAGTCTCCAAACACGTTAGTTCAATTAAAAGCAAATCAACCAATGAACATCCTATCCTGATTTTGCAGGATGGTAACATCCTTCTGAAATTAGCCAGCTCATTTCCTAAGTATTCCCAACTCCCATTCCTCTCTAATAAATGTGGGAGGAAAGCATCAGCCAAGCAAAAGGACCATCTCATCTACATGAGAATAAAAGAGCTTCTATACATAAGCCAATTTCTACATATTCTATACATTGTTTATTTCATTTTTCAAGGCACAGGTGCAGATAAATGTTTTCAAATGTAATGATCAAAAAAAGCTTTTTTTTCCTTCATTAAAAATTTTATGGTACTGGGGCTGGCCCAGTGACGAAGTAGTTAAGTTTGGCATACCCCACTTCACCAGCCTGGGTTCGCGGGTTCAGATCCCAGGCACGGATCTACTCCACTCGTCAAGCCGTGCTGTGGCAGTGACCCACATACAAAACAGAGGAAGACTGGCACAGATGTTAGCTCAGGGCCAATCTTCCTCACCAAAAAAAAAAAAAAAAAAAAAAACCACCTTTATGGTATTTAGTTAAAAAAACAAAGACTATGAAATTAAGCTAGAATTTTTTTTTAAGATTTTATTTTTTCCTTTTTCCTCCCAAAGCCCCCTGGTACATAGTTATGTATTTTTAGTTGTGGGTCCTTCCAGTTACAGCATGTGAGATGCTGCCTCAGCATGGCTTAATGAGCGGTGCCATGTCCACACCCAGGATTCAAACCGGCAAAACCCCGGGCCACCAAAGTGGAGCACGCGAACTTAACCACTTGGCCACGGGGCTGGCCCCCTAAGCCATAATTATTATGAAGAAATACAGGTATACCTCAGAGAAATTGTGTGGTTCCAGACCACCACAATAAAGCCACTATAGCAATAAAACAAGTCACATGAATTTTTTGGTTTCCCAGTGCATATAAAAGTTATGTTTACACTATAGTCTATTAAGTATGCCATAGCAGTGTGTCTAAAAAAACAATGTACATACCTTAATCAAAAATGCTTTATTGCTAAAAAAAAATGCTAACCATTATCTGAGCCTTCAGCAAGCCATAATCATTTTGCTGGTGAAGAAAACGCAAAATCTGTGGGGCGCAATAAAACAAGGTACGCCTGTAGTCTAGAACTCGTGAAACAACAATCAGATTGCATTCACATTCATGAAGCACCCACATCCGTCTGTCCTTCTAACCTGGCCTTGGGTGTGAGTCTACCCAACCCAGCATGGCTCAGCAGTCCCTCCCCTGCCGAGACCCCATCTCCCTCATTACAAGGACGGGCTTGCGAACTCTGCTCCACTTGTCCCCTTTCTCCTTCTGTGTTTCACTCCTCTCCTACTCCCTCCACTGTCCTGTCAAACACGTCATCCTCAAGACTCCATTCAAATTTACACTAAACTCACAATTTTTCACTAAACTTTAGCGCAGAGATCATGCGAAATTCATCTGTTGGCTCAGCAGGCACTTGCTTTCTGTGGAATTAAACACTTCCATGCATCTTTCTGCAAACCTTCGCTTTCCTCAAACCCCGGTCTATACCATACGGACACCCATCATTACACCTAAAAGCCTGTACTGGCCTTGCTTCCTTCGCTCTCCCACCTGACTGTGAGCTTTCTGAAGACAGAAATGCGTCTCCTTCAGGTTTGTATCCTCAGCACGTAGAAAGTACCTACCACATGATAATCATACGTACTAGTCATAGTTATTATTAGTTATTATTAACTTATTCCTGTAGTTACTCATTTATTCCTGACAATTCTACAAATATCTTACTCCTTTCTTTCTTTCCATTATAGAAATGAGGAAACTGGAACACAAAGATTCAGCAACTTCTCAACATTACACACTAGCAAGTGGCAGAGTGCTTGGCCTCTTGAGTCTATGTTCTTAACAACTGTCATTGTCAGATAGTGACTGCATCCACAAAGGCATGCTCACTGACTTATGATGTCATAAGAATCAATAAAGATTTATACTGTAAAACTGGATTTTCCATTTGCACTCAAATCATCTTTAAAAGGTTATCCAATGGTCCAAATCCCTCCTAGGACGGTTGAGAAACTAAGATGTAGCAATTTGCTCAAAGTCAGAGTCACCAGCACTGAAACCCAGCTGTCAAGGATCAGTGCTCCTTCCATGGCGACTTGGCCAAAAGTACTCTCAACGGCTCTGACACCTGTAAATTCAAATCCTGGGCAATCATTTAATTCCTCAGCAAGAAGCAAAATACATTCCTCAAAATTCCCCAAAACATCAATAGTGCCTGACAGAGGCATTCACTCCTTTTTCAAACCAAGCACTTTTCCCTTGTTTTGAATTTCAGTATTGGCAGCCCCAGGGTTTGTTTATTCCCTTAGGACTAATATACGACACTCCCAACCAGAAATACCAAAGGCAGAACCTTTAGAGGAACCACGTTAGGCCATCTCTGACTTCAGGGAACATACTGAGATCTTGGCTAGGCTAAAATAAATTTTCTCATAACATTTAAATAATTATTTGCTTAGTTTCTAGCTACTTTAATATGAGAACAGA